GCAGGGTGGAAGGAAGAACTTGGTCACTTGGTCAGCAAGTAAGGGGAATAAAGTAGATATTCAAGAGGAGCGTGAAGGACCAGAACAAAACAGGGAACCGAAATGGGGAGAAACGGTCCTAGTAAGGCGTGAGTTCCCTGCTTCAGTTACTTCTCTAAGGGTTTAGCTATTTAATTCTACAGTCCATGGCATGAGACACTCTGACACCCAACACATTTCATCATAGTCTAAGCCAATTTGAAACCTCTGGCACCACAAGAAGCCTGACTGAAGCATCGATTTAAGATGAGAAATTGCTCACAGGACAACCCTGTGTATATTTATTTTACCTTCTGCAGAAACTTTCAGCTTTCCAGGAGATAACAATGTTGTGCCTGCAGGCATATCAGTATCAGTTTCCCTTGGTTTTGAATAATTTTTAAGTCAAAATTTTAGATTTTGCATCCAATTTTTCATATGCCTCAAGGACATCTTTTTTTTTCATTTGATTCTTTTCTTTTGATCATCTGAAATTTGACCCCTTTCCATTCATTAGCATAATCCTAAAGATTTCTAATAAGCCAGAAAAGCAAAGGAGAATATTTGAGGCTCATCACATGGCTGAAACATACGGTGTATAATTCTACTGATAAGATCATTTCCAAATTATTTCTCATTGTTGGTTTGAGATATTACTTCTTGCCAGTTAACACTACACCACAGGATTCACCTGAAACTTTCTATTCTTCCAGCAAAGGATACCCAGCCAGGAAGACCACAGATTCTTCTCTGTAAGTATTCAACAGTTATTTGTCATAATCAGGTAGTTATACCATATTCCTTATTTTGGTTTTTTTGTTGTTGTTGTTTATTTGTTTTGGAATTAAAGTGAAAAAACAAGCATTTGGGAAAATACATACAAATTTAGATTACCCAAAATAAAATTATACTGAGCCAGCTGTGCATTTCGGATTTTCTTATCGAGGGTACAACTGTGATCTAAATCAACGTCAGCCATGAATCCTTCTGCAAAAAATTCACTGGATACCTACAAGAAAGTGAAATATGTTTATTATTTTATTTTCATTTTTAAAAATTGTAGTTTACAATGTTGTGTCAATTTCTGCTGTACAGCATGTTTCAGTCATACATACACATACATATATTCCTTTTCAGATTCTTTTCCATTATAGGTTACTACAAGATACTGAATAGAGTTTCCCGTGCTGAACAGTAGGACCTTGTTGTTTATCTATTTTATATGTAGTAGTTAGTATGTGCAAATCCCAAACTCCCAATTTATCCCTTCCCACTCCCTCTCCCCACTGGTAACCATAAGTTTGTTTTCTGTCTGTGAGTCTATTTCTATTTTGTAAATAAGTTCATTTGTATCATATTTTAGATTCTACATATAAGTGGTATCATATGGAATTTGCCTTCCTCTGTCTGACTTCACTTAGAATGATAATCTCCTGGTCCATCCATGTTGCTGCAAATGGCATTATTTTTATTCTTTCTTATGGCCGCGTAGTATTCCACTGTGTGTATATAACCACATCTTTATCCAATCATCTGTCAATGGACCTTGAGGTTGTTTTCATGTCTTGGTTATTGTAAATAGTGCTGCTATGAACATTGGGTTGCATGTCTTTTCAAATTAGAATTCCCTCTGGATAAATGCCTAGGAGTGGGATTGCTGAGAAACACATTTATTATTACATAGTATGGTGGCCAGCCTCCAAGGTAACCCACTTGGTACCCCGCCTACTTGGGTAGTTCCCTCCATGCTGTGGTCTGTGTGTCCACAGTGGAGGGTGGACGTGATGGCATGTGACTTCTGACATGAGGGCCCTTTAGGGCTGAGACCACTTCTAGGCTGGGAGGACATGCCAGCGACCTCTGAGAAGCCCGTAAGGTGAGGCGCTGGGCACCCACAATGAGGTGAGTGGCCTCCTCAACACCTCTAGCCTCACAAGGTGCCCCAAGCTGGAGTCACCCAGCCATGCTGCTCCAAGATTCTGACTCACAGAAACTGTGAGATAATAAAGGCTTGTTGTGGACCTACTGTATGGCACAGGGAACTATAGTCAATATCTTGTAACAACCTATAATGGAAAAGAATCTGAAAGAGAATATATATATGTATAAATGAATCACTATGCTGTACACCTAAAAGTAACACAGCATTGTAAATCAGCTGTACTTCAATTAAGTATAAATTTTAAAAAATAAATAAATGGATGCTTGTTTTAAGCTGTCAAGTTTTAGGGTAATTTATTATGCAGCAAGAGATAATCCAAGTATCCTTCCCTAACAGAGTCATGAGGAAAAGAATAACGATGAGATGTTTAAAATACCAATTCCTCAAAAACATGAATAAAATGGTTCTGATACACCTACACAGACATGATTCAGGTGTTACTCCCAATTACTGAAAACATGGGGTGGTAAATTAATGTGTTGGTTATGCAATATTTTAAGGCATGAATAACATTCCAAGTCAATGACCCTTATAGGTCACATGCCAAGATTATGTACTTTAAAGGTCTCCAATTTTACCTGAAGTGCGTAGTTTTCACAAGTTGGCCCCGCAGGGATGACCATTATCTGGTGAGGAGACAGCCAGAAAGGCCTGAAAAATATAATATGTACTTTCAAAGTGACCATTTATTACAAGATTAAAAAACAATCAAAGATCTTGTTTTTTTTTTAAGTAAGTCTTCACAAGAGAGGTGGTTCAGTATGGAAGTTAAAATAACCTAGATTAAAAGACAGTACAGTAGACAAAAGAGGGAAACTGGGCATTTTGACTGGAAAGGGAAGGAAAAACCTCACTTACCATCTGACCCAGCAACCTCCCTCCTAGGCACTTACCCCAGAGAAACGGAGACAGGTTCACACAAACACCTGCCCACTAACGCTAACAGCAGCTTTTTATCAGCCCCAAGCTGGAAACACCCCAGTGCTCTCCAGCAAGTGAATGCTCAAGCCGGGGCATCCATGGGACGGAACACTATCAGCAGTAAGAGGGGACCAATGACTGACACGTGAGACACCTCAGATGGATCTCAAGGGAATCCTACGCTTGAAGAAAGCCAGTCTTGAAGGGAGGGTGTAGCTCAGTGGTAGAGCGCATGCTTAGCATGCACAAGGTGCTGGGTTCAACCCCAGTACCTCTGTTAAAAAAATAAGTAAAAATCTAATTACCTCCCCCACAAAAAAGAAAAAGATAGTCTCAAGGGGCTGCATGCTCTGATTCCATTTATGTAACATTCTGGAAATGACAAAATTACAGGGATGTAGACCAGGTTAGTGGCTGCCAGAGACTGTGACAGGGGTGGGTAGGAGCTGTGTGGCAATAAACGGTGGCACGAGGGATCCTTGAGAGTAGTGGACCTGTGCTGCGTCCTGACGGAGGGGCACACAAGTCCAGATACTTGCACTGGTGAGGTCCGAATAAGGCTGGTGGGTGGTATCGCTGTCAATTTCCCAGCCTGCAGCGACGCTGGGTATAGCTTTGTAATATGTTACCGCTGGGGGATACTGGGTGAAAGGTATGCTCGACCTCTGAGTATGATTCTACAATTATCTTGAAATGAAAAAAATTCTTTTAAAGATGGAAAGTGGGGTATAAGCAATGTTGATGGAGGAAACGTTTGCCTTTTTGTTCCTCAGAATGAATATTTAGTTTGGAGGTGGAAGGAAATGCCCGCGGACTGTTACCTGCAGCACTTTGTGAACATTATGTGTTTATACCTTTATTCTTAAATTACTAAAGCAAAATAATACATAGGACAAATGTGACTACATACATGATGAAATGCAGAAATACAGTGTACAAAATGAAAAGTTAATGGTCCCCTTTTGAGCTCTGTCCTCACCCCATCCCCTGCCCCGAGGACAGCCACATTTCAAACGTTTCTGTTTTTATTTTGGGGTGAGATTTCCAACACAAGTCTGTAGGTGTCCGAATGCTTGTTACTGTGGAGGACATGCACTGAGTCTCTGCGAGGAAGTGCACTGACACTATCCCCTGATTTCACTAGTTCTTCTTTGTTTTTTGGTGGATTTTTTTTTAAACTGTTTTCACCACTACTGCCCTAGTACAAGGCACCTCCATCTTTCACCTGTGTTACACTATTTAAAATGGAATCACTGGAGAGCAATATAAACGTGTTAACTGACACTTAGGGAGACACGCATTCAAATCTATACTCTTGGACTATCTGGAGCTGCAGTAGCTTGGACACCCTAAGTCACCTTAGCATATTTCTCTAAGATCGCACATAAAATGTCAGGGGTGGACACAGGCTCTGGTAAACCACCCTCATGGCCCATTCTGAGTGACCATCCACA